TTCTATGCGCCTTATTAAGATGCAAATGTCATGTCAATTTCGCAATCCTAACGGACTCTCCGTGAGTACGCGCGGTTGTTTCTTTTCCTTTCCTCTCTTTCCCGCCATAATGTCGACATGCCGCGGATAAATAATAGAACGAGCGAATGGTTTAATGAGAACGATCGACGACCGATCGGCTGCGGAGAAAATTGAACCATGAATCGTGGACGTATGAGATAGCATGACAAAATTCCCTCGGGAAAATCGCGTATGTGATGTTTAGCCTGGGAAAATTTACTGGGTTGCTGGTGATGGGAAATTTTTTAATTAATTTGGGAATTTAGGAATTTTGCAGTTTTGAGGATGTGAAGGAGGATGAAATGAAAATTAAAAAATATAAAAATTTATGTATTGGAGAATCTTGGGGTGTGGGAATTTAGGAATTTGAAGATTTTGGAATTTTAGAATTTGGGGATGTGGAAATTTAGAAATTTGGAAAATTGGATATGTGAGAATTTAGGGATGTGGGAATTTAAAAATGTAGAAATTTGGATATGTGAGAATTTGGGGGTGTGGGAATTTGGAAATGTGGAAATTTGGATATTTGAGAATTTGGGGATGTGGAGATTTAGAATTGTAGAAATTTGGGGATGTGGGAATTTAAAAGCGTAGAAATTTGGATATTTGAGAATTTGGGGATGTGGAAATTCAGAAATATAGAAATTTGAATATGTGAGAATTTAGAAATCTAGAAATTTGAATATTTGAGAATTTGGGGATGTGAAGATTTAGAATTGTAGAAATTTGGGGATGTGGGAATTTAAAAGTGTAGAAATTTGGATATATGAGAATTTGGGGGCGTGGAAATTCAAAAATGTAGAAATTAGAATATTTGATAATTTAGGAATCTGCGAATTTAAAAATGCAAAAACTTGAAAATTTAAAAATTCCAAAATTGAAGAACATGAAACTCTTCAACTTAACCCCAAACCCCGAACCCCTAACTTTCCAAACTTCCCAAAATCCCACACACGAAAACTCTCAGCTTTCCTTCCCAATTTCTCTTTCCCCAATTTCCCCCAAATCCGTCACATGTTTCAACGCTAACCCAGAAAGGGTCCCCGTTCACAAGAAACATTCGAACCGCTCCAAATGAGTCACGGCACTCTCAAACGCGTTCCTCACCGACTCTCAACGGAATAGCGCACACCCATGAATGTTTAGGGTCCTTCGGGCCTCTCGTGGGACTTATTTTTAGGAATTCCAGAAAGATCGTTCAGGGCCATGTTCACCGTGCGATGCGTCCAACCAACCGGAAGAAGAACTTGTATTTTCATTGTTGTTTATGTAGTGTGCCTTTGCTCTTTCTTTTTGCCTTCATTTCCCTCTTGCCTTCTTTTTCTTTCTACGTTTCCCTGTCACCGTTCTATTCCGTTCCTCTTTGTAACTCACCCGAGGCTTGCCAAGGACACGCGCCTGGGTAACCGGAGAACCATATGCTTCGATTTGACCCTTTTAAGCGGCGTTTACATCGGACTTTTCGTAGTTGTTCAAGTTTGGTGATTATTTGTAGGATTTTGGGTTAATTAAGTTTGGTGATCGTTTGTGGGATTTTGGGTTAGTTAAGTTTGGTCATTTGTAGGATTTTGAATTAATCAAGTTTGGTGATTATTTCTAGGATTTTGGGTTGATCAAGTTTGGTCATCATTTCTAAGATTTTGAGTGAATTAAGTTTGAAAAATTTCTGGTGATTCAATTTGAAGTTAAAGAAAAATTTGTTGGTTTCTATTTTTAGGTTATGATGAAGGAGATGGAGTTGCATTGTTAAGTTCTGATGAAAGAGATGAAGTTGTTACACTATAGTGGAGCATAGTCAAAGAACTAGAATAATAGTCAGAATGAAATTTATTCAAGGTTCAATCCATGTGTGACTTGAATTAAAAGTTAATCTTTTGTCATCGAATATCACACATGACGCTGCAGAAGGTATAACATACCTGATGACTTACACATGTGACATACTAGACCTAACACACATGTGTGTCTATTCATCTGAATAGAAGACCCAAACATAAATTTGAAAATATAACTGTAAATTTAATTTGAAGAACTATTGTCCTAAAACCATGAAGGGCGACTTCTTCAAAAGATAATAAATGCAGGTAACCTAATTGTCCGTAGCTAAACCGATCCTGACAATGCAACAAATTTAAAGGTCAATGAACATAAAATGCAGCACCTTTGAAAAGTGTACCGATCCTAATTATCGAGGACCATAATTGCCTGATGTAAACGCCGCCTTAAAAGTGCTCCGTTTCAGGTATACGAGTTACCTAGGTGTTCCAGGAAGTATTTCGAAATTTTCGTCGATCAATTTCGCAGAGACACAGCCTGCAGAGGAATATTCGTCCGTGAAAACAAAGCGGCGGTGATTAAGTCGAGCCGGCATCGAGGCACGATAAAAATGTTGCCTTGGTTAGCCGATGCAAACGAATGCAGCACATTTAGATTGAGGGATATCGACGAGTTCCGTATATCGCAACACTTTAGAGATACCCAACGTTCGTTCGAGGCTTATCTTTGCATAAAATTGTGCGTCCAGCTCGACTCGAAGCGCACCTCGGTTTCTCCATTTGCGCGTTAATTATTTCGCTAAGGTACGAGGGCCTCGGAGTCGAAAAATCGACGCTCGATCGTAATGTCTAAATATAGAGCGTCGGTAACACAGTAGCAACCGGGCTGAGCAACATTCAGATAACGATAAGAGTTAAGCCCCGGTGCGAGGTGGGATAAAGCGCGAGGCATGGGTCATGTGTTAATTCGGTTAGAAACCAGCTCGAAAAATGCTAGACTGTAATGATTACTTTAGATAGTTGCTGAGGATAGTTTACTTTGGCTGGTCCAGATACTGAACATGGGCGGTTTGCTTGTGGGCTGGATAAAGTCTGGTAACATGTTCAGAATTTCACATGGTAGACTAGGAATTACTTTTCATGAGTGATTGTATGAAATTAAAATCGAGGGGAGAAGCTAAATAGTTTTTATTTGACATCATAACTTCTGCACTTATAATGAAATTATAGTACAATCCAGAGCAAGTTGGAGCAAAATTTAGCTTTACTCCCAGAAATTGGCAGATGTAGACTTTAGGGTTTGAGGTTCTACAACTGTGACTAGCTACTGTAGAAATGTGGAGAGACCTAGAAATTTTGATTTTACTGTGAAACTTTGGATTTACAGAAATGGTAATTTGAGGAGTACGGGGTCTAAAATTTGGGAGACCCAGAAATGGGATTTGGAGGTTTGGGGAATTGCAAATTGGGGATAAGAGAATTTGGGAACCTAGAAACTTGAAGGTCTAGAGATTTGGAGATGTAGAAATTGGGGATTTAGAAATTTGGGGACACTGGTATTTGAGAATCTTGAGGGTCAGAGATCTACTGACATGGCAATTTGGAGATTTGGCAGCTTGGAGAGTTGGAAGACTAGGAATTTGGGGACCTAGGAATTTGAGAAGCTTGAGATTTGGGAATGTAGAGACATGGAAATCTTGAGATTTAAAAATGTAGAAATTTGGGAGCCTTGTTATTTAAGAATTTAGGATTTTGGAAACCTTGAAATTTAAAGAAACCTTGATTTAGAAATTTGGGATTTGAAGCTATGGGAACCTTGAAATCTGACTACCTAAATATTCAAAAGTCCAAGATTATTAAAATCCAGAAATTTAGATATCTAGAAATGTATAACTAAAAATTTTAAAATAACCTTTCAATTCTTAGAACACATTGTTAACACGTGACGCAGAAAGTGTCAATTAACACATAATATTTAGTACCTATGACAATTATCTCTAAGTTTGTGACCACTCTAAATAGACCATCGTATCAACATTTCTAACGTGTTTTTAAACACTCCAAACGCAAGTTTACTTCCTTTTTTAAATTATTTTAACAATCTGTACTGCGTAATATTCTTCGAAGTAAATTTCTGCTTTTTAACAGATATTTTTACCCAACCATTTTGACTTTATTTTACGGAGCAGTACTCAAGCACTTATACAGACTTTGTGTAATATACTAAATTAATAAATATATAGTACTAACAAAATTAAAGAAAACATAGATCTTTTATTTTTATATTAAGAGATTTTAGGTTATGTTCATGATGGGGGTTCTTCAATGTAATGCACTCTGATTGTTCAAACATAATGAAGTTGAATGAAATTATATCCATATTCAATTTTACTACACAAATGTAAATGTTGACAGGTTTCAATTATTTTCACATCAATCAAAGAGTACTTGCAACCAACCTCACCGCAAAACATGCTACGATTTGTCCTTATTCAATGAAGTATAACGAGAAATCGATGAGAAACAAAGTTGCAAAGTATGGCCGTCTATCAACACCGCTTTCTATCACATTGTAGATATGTAGCGATGTCACGAGTTGTCGCGTGAGGTGAAGAGCTACAATTTTTCAAATGTCGAGTGTTCTACATTTACAAATTCCTATATTCTCAAGTTTCTGTACTCTAAAATCTCTACATTCACAAATTCCTGTATTCCCAAGTTTCTATATTTTAAAATCTCTACATCCATAAATTCCTATATTTTCAAGTTTCAGTATGCTAAAATCTCTACATCCACAAATTCCTATATTCTCAAGTTTATATATTCTAAAATCTCTACAACCACGAATTCCTACATTCTCAAGTTTCTATATTCTAAAATCTCTACAACCACAAATTCCTATATTCTCAAGTTTATATATTCTAAAATCTCTACATCCACAAATTCCTACATTCCCAAGTTTCTATATTCTAAACTCTCCTATTCAAAACTCCAACCATTTCTGGATCTCTCATTTATCTCACAAACCTCCTATGTTTATAAGGTAACATTGCACAGTCGCTAACATTGCCTTCAACATTGCACAGTCGCTAACATTGCCTCCAACATTGAACAGTCGCCATTTTCTCCATCTTCAAAGTATGAGAAAAATTGAAATTTTCTTACCTGTTTAGAGAAGACAGCAATGTCCTCGTTGAAGCTCTCTGACGAGCACACGTCACCGCCCGCGACACCAGGTTCCCGCGGTGTACACGTCGCGAGTTCGCACTTCTCGAAGATCAACGCGAGAAGCGGGAACAGGGGGTGTCTGCAACAAGGAAAAGAGAAAACGATTAAAAATACCGCACGAAAATCAAGCGTACATTACGCCAACTTGTATGAGCATGTTAATTGATCGGCCGATCGATGAGGCCGCTCAGCCTTCGCCTGGCTGTCATTTATTTCACGCCTCTTTCGAACGTTCCTCCAGGAACGCGGAGGACAACCAAGGATCGAGGTTTTATCTGACGCGTGATAAATTAATCCGCGCGATCGGTCAACGGTATCGTTGATCGATACACGATTATTCGACAAGTGGCGACACGCGGGTAACATGATGAGCAACGCGAAATGGCGAAAATCGGCTTGAAATTGTGACACGGATCGTTTTGTGTATGGAAGTGTGAAATGAGATATGTGAAGTTGTGGATGATGAATGTTAGATGTTTTTTATATTGTTTCTTAAGTTTTTCCTTATATTAGAATTTTTATATTGTAGGTACTTTCATTACTGAACACCTAGATTCCCAGATTTGAAAGTTACTATATTTCCTAATATCATATATCAATATGTCATTCATATGTCAATGTGTCAATCATATGAATATGGCACTCCTAAATCATTTTATTTCCAAATCTCTATATTTGCGAAACATTATGGTAAAAATATTTTATGTCACCAAATTTATATATCTTTGAAACACTAACTATCTACGTCACAGAATCTCTATATGTATTTCTGAATTTTTAGAACGTCAAATTGATATATCTCCTAATACCTAGATTCCCAGATACCTAGGTCCCATATACCTAAATCCCAGATACATTGATCCTTAGATTCTTAGGTTCAAGAATTCCTTTATTTCCAAACCTCAGTGTTTTGTTGAATACCTACATCCCCAGATTACTATATTTTCAATCCCTATGTTCCCAAATATTCATATCTCTAAATCTTTATAGTGGAGAATTCTTATAGCGCCAAATATCAATAGTCCCGAATCCCTATAACCCCAAACTCTTATATCACAGAATCTCCATAACCCCAAATTCCTATGCTCGCAAATCTCTATATCCCCAAATCCCCATATGTCATAATCTCTATATCTTGAAATCTCTGTGTCCCCAAATCCCTATATACCCAACTCCCTATATCCCCAAATTCCCACGTGTCAAAATCCCTATATCCCCAAATTCCCACGTGTCAAAATCCCTATATCCCCAAATTCCCACGTGTCAAAATCCTTATATCCCAAATTCCCACGTGTCAAAATCCCTATATCCCCAAATTCCCACGTGTCAAAATCCCTATATCCCCAAATTCCCACGTGTCAAAATCCCTATATCCCCAAATTCCCACGTGTCAAAATCCCTATATCCCCAAATTCCCACGTGTCAAAATCCCTATATCCCCAAATTCCCACGTGTCAAAATCCCTATATCCCCAAATTCCCACGTGTCAAAATCCCTATATCCTCAAATTCCCACGTGTCAAAATCCTTATATCCCTAAATTCCCACGTGTCAAAATCCCTACATCCCCAAATTCCTATATTTCAAAATCCCTATACCCCAAAATCCCTATATCCCAAAATTCCTATATCCCAAAATCCCTATATCCCAAAATCCCTATATCCCAAAATCCCTATATCCCAAAATCCCAAAATCCTAAGATCCCTATATCCCAAAATGCTCATATCCCCAAATGCACGTGTCATAATGTTGCTATGCACGCATAACCTAGAGCACCATATCTCCAAGCACAATTTGAATTTTCCTGAAAATTCATGTATGCTTAACACAGGATTAGATATGACAGTGCTCGGAGGTGTTTCAGAAAATGTATGAAGTGTAAAAGGAATGAATATGCGAGCATCGATGAATAAATAAAAACCTGAATATCATTTGGCAACGCGAAGGAAAATGAGAGTTACGAAACTAATAATTTCACACTCTGTAACAATAATACACGACCGTCCGTATTAACATTATTATCGAACGTTTATTTTTGCAAAATTCCTTGACGTATTTATGGCCGTAATTTTCCGGCGAACGATTAAACGAAATTGAACAAAATGCGTTATCCAAACAATCGACCGTTTTATAAACTGTCGATTATCTATGATCGCAGGAGAATTCGTACAACTTTTTCCTTTTTTTTTTAAATAAACAAACCGTAGAAACTCGTCGAAAGGAACTAGTCGAAATGGAAATTATTTTTGCAAGTATAGCAAGATAACATTTGCAAGTCAAACAGCTACGTGTAGTAGCACACCAACGGTCGCGAACACGTCAACTAAAACATAATTCATCCGAAGGTAATTTATATTTCTAGCCGGCGTTCGCGGTGAACCGTTCACGATCCGACGGCTATCGATCCTCTCCTTCGATTCGCCAACTTCTAAACCCGGCTGTTTCCACGTCGCTTTTTTTTCTTAACCGCAACATTTTCCCGACACTCTTCTAATTGAGTAATTGCTGCTCACAAAGCAATCAACGTCCAGGCGGGAAAAAAAACTGCGGCCAATTAACGAAGGTGTGCGGTCGATCGATCCTGCCCGTAACAATCCCTCGATATTGTGCTCTCCGAGCCGATAATTACAGACTCGATTCAATCGTAACTTCCTCGGTGGCGTTTACGAGAAAAGAATATTTTCACGGTGTTATCGATCATGTTACGCGCCACACGGTTACCACGGTATTAGGAGGATCCCTGGATAAGATAAGATTAGTCGAGGCCGGTGCAAACGACTGCAACAACGGACTACACTTGTGCTTCACCAGCGTTTGACACCGTAATCGACGTGTTTGCTAACCCAAGAAAAAAGATACAGCGGGTTCCCGTTATATTGCCGCACGCGTCATATGCTTCCTGGCAATACGCACATGTAATGATTTTCTACGAAAATTATACGCATTATTGACTATTATGTAGATCTTCTGGAAATTATATATATTATTGGTCATTACGTAGATTTTCTTGAAAAATTACATATATTATTGGCTATTATAGATTTCTTGGAAAAATTATAGATAGGCTTGAAAATTTTTCTGAAATTGTTGAAATCTTCTGCAATTTATAAGAACCCACGTTGAAAATTAAATTTCGAAATTTTTGAATGTTTAAGTTAGTACAATTGTAAATTTATAGTTTTGTAATTTGAACTTTTTTAAATATGAAGGTTTGTAAATTAACTTGAAAATATTAGAATTTCTAAATGCTTGAATTTACAGGTTGTTAAATTTTTAAATACCTAAATGTTTTAATTTTTGAATAATTTAAACAAATTATTTGAACTGTTAATTTAAATGATTTCTACAATATTTTCATAACCTTAAAGAATTATTAACCTTGTTAAATTAATAACCTAAATTAACAACCTAAATATGAGAAAATACTCTGAACAACACCTACCACGGCAATATAATAAGAATCACCAATCTGATCCTTTTCCTTTAACACCACAACAATGTTAAATAAATCCAGTAATTTTCAATCCAGTAATCCACCATGCCCTATAAGTATCACTTATTACTAAAAGTCGCACACAAAGGTGGCTATATAACGCGAATCTACTGTATAAAAACGACAATCGACGCTTATATGCGTACGATCCACTTGACGCGATAAATCACGGGAAAAATGCGTTTATACGTCGTGTCGTTCTCGCCAATTGAAATCTACGAGAGCTGGCGCGTGCTGCTCGAAAATCACTTTATCGCGCCGGTAATAAAATATCACCGATATTACCGATATCGCACAATTTTCGATACGAGTTTTCGAGGTTCGAGCAATCGGTGAAGCTTGCATTATAGTTATGTTTTTGTACTGAGCGCAATGCCGATATCTGTGTAATACTATTTTATTATCGCTTCGATCCTCTGATTTGTTGATGTAGCCAAATTTATTATTTTATTGCTGTTTTTTGCGATCTTTACCATAAGTTTTTACTAGTTTCACTCTGGGATACTGGCAGAGTTTTGGCGGCAAAAGTTTATGTAGGATTGTCAAGTAATTTGTATATGAGTCTGTTATACATATGTGTTCAATTTGTGAATTTGTAAAATTTTTGTATACTGTAGTTTACAATTTTTGTATACTGTAATTTATAATATTTGTACACTGTAATGTACTGTATTTGTATATTTTACAAAAAGCAGATTGATCACAATAAATGGCTGCTAAAGGCTAAAAACCTTGTTTTAATCACTAACCTCTTCAAGAGGTTATGTGGACATGTGCACATATGTGGACATGTGTTTAAGTCGATCAACTGAGGAACTATACCTACACTATTTATGTTATATTATAAATTCCTCTAGGATTTATTTAATACATAATACATAATTAATACACAATTAAATTTAAAAACAGCACACCCAACCTTGCTGTAATCACTAACCTCCTTAAGAGGTCACACACATATGTGAACACCTTTTTAAATCAACCAAGGAACATCTACCTATATTATTTATGTTATTTAATAAATTTCTTTACGATTTATTTACATAATTAGATTTAAAAATAGTACGCCCAAAAACCTTGCTCTAATCACTAACCTCAAGAGGTCATTTACACATACACATATGTGGACATCTTTTCAAATCCATCAATCAAGGAACGTCTACTTACATTATCATTCATACCTATATTATTTATGTTATTTAATAAATTCCTCTACGATTTATTTATACAATTACAGATTTAAAAATAGTACACCCAAAAACCTTACTCTAATCACTAACCTCAAGAGGTCACATACACATACACATATGTGGACATCTTTTTAAACCCATCAACCAAGGACCGTCTACTTATATTATCATTGACACCGTTATCATTTATGTTATTTAATAAATTCCTCAACAATTTATTTACATAATAACAGATTTAAAAGCAGTAAAATTTCTTTTGAAAGATCGAAGAGGTTAAGTTGTCCAGACCGATTTCTCGGTGGCGATGTTCGAACATCCTCCGAACCCCTTTTCAGTAGAAGGAGTAATTTTTACGCATCCCGAACGGTCTCGAGACGAATCGTCGAAGAAACGTTTG